ACCCCTCAAAACTCTCCTGGCTTCCCCTGTCCCCACTCTTTCAGTGAAAATCTTGTTTCATATTTCATTGAAAAACTGGAGCCATTAGCCAAGACCCCCTTCTCTTCTCTTAGCACTCAGATGGCTTCCCCCACTATTTCCTCCTCCAGTTCTAACCCCCGTGAAGAGAAAGTACTTTTCCTACAATATGCATCTCCACTTCCTTTCCTCTCAATCTCGTCTTGACTCTACTGTCTGGTTCTCAGCCTCATTCAATTAAAACTGCTCTCTCCAAAGTTTCTGATGTTGTTCAGTTGTTTTTTAGTCATGTCTGACTCTTTGTAGCCCCATTTGGGGTTTTCTTGGCAGAGATACTGGAGTGGTTTGCCATTTCCTTCCCCAACTCCTTTTACAGATGAGGAAACTGAGGCAAACAGGGTTAAGTGACTTGCCCAGGGTCACACAGCTAGAAAGTGTCTGAGGCCAGATTTGAACTCAGGTCTTCCTGACTCCAGGCCCCATGCTGTACCCACTGTGCCACCAAAGTTTCTAATACTCTCTTAATCGCTGGATCTAATGGCTTCTTCTCATTCTTCCCCCTTCTTGAGTTCTCCAAAGCCTTTGACGTTATTGATCACTCTCTTCTTCTCTCTAGGTTTTGGTGACGCTGCTCTTTCCTAGTTCTCCTCCTACTCAGCTGATCGCTCCTTGTAGTCAGACAATCTGCTTCATCCAAGCCACTCCCACAAACCACAAGTATCCTCCCAGGTTCTGTCCCGAGCTCTTTTCTCTTCTCCTTCTATCGTATTTCACTTAGTGACCTCATCAACTCCCATGAATTCAACTCCACAGATGATCCTCAGACCTGTTTATCCAGCCCTAAACTCTGCCAACCTGCAGTCTCACATCTCCAAATGCCTAGTAGACATCTCCAGCTGGATGTCCAATAGTCATCTTAAATTCAACATGTCCAAAACCAAAGTCATCATCTCTCCCCCAACCCCTTCCCTCTTCCAAACTGCCATATTCCTATTGAGGCGCCACCGTCCTCCTAGTCACCAAGGTTCACAACCCAGGTGTCACCCTCAGGTCCTCATTCTCTCTCACCTCCCCCATCTGTTGCAGTGGCCTATTGATTTTACTTCTGGAACTTCTCTCATGTAATCCCCTTTTCTCCTCTGACACTGCTACCAGCCTGGCTCAGATGGCAAACTCATGCCTAGACTATTGCAATAGCCTGCTGGTGGGTCCCCCTGCCTCGAGTCTTTCCCTATTCAAGTCCATCTTCTATGCAACGGTCAGATTGATTTTCCTAAAGCACGAGCTTGACCATATCACCTCCCTGTTCAGTCAACTCCAGGGATTGTCCCTTTCCTCCAAGATCAAATTTAAAATCAGTTTGGCCTCTTCCTACCTTTCTAATCTTCTTATACCTTATTCTCTCCCACCCATCACTTTGTGTCCAGTTGACATTGGTGTCCCGGCTGTTCCTCAGACAAGACCTTCCATCTCCCAACTCCAGGCATTTTCCCTGCCTGTCCCTCATACCTGGTAGTCTCTTCTCCCTCATCTCTGCCTCCTGGCTTCCCAGGCTTCCTTAGAGACTCAGCTAAAATTGTACCTTCTACAGGAAGCCCTTCTCAGCCCTTTCATCTTAGCACCTTCCTTGTGTTAGTTATCTCCAATTTGGGGGCCATCTCCAGTCATTCTGGTCTGTATCTGGCCACTGGACCCACATGGCTCGGGAGGAGAGAGTGAGGCTGATGACTTTGAACAGCCCTCCCTCACTTGAATCCAATTCACTTGCAAGTCATGGCATCACCTTCCTGATATCATGGTCCTCTTTGAGAATGAAGGACAAACAACGGTATCTCCAGTTTACCCTGTATCTATCCTGTTTGTACATAATTATTTGCAAGTTGTCTCTCGAATTAGATTGTGAACTCCTTAAGGAAAGGGACTGTCTTTTCTCTTTCTTTGTATCCCCAGGGCTGAGCACGGTGCCAGGCACAAAACAGGTGCATAATATATGCTTGATGACTAACTGATAAGATCACCAAGTGAGAAAGTGTAGGAGAGAGAAGTGGTCCCAGGGTCCTCAGAATCGAGTTCAAATAGTAGGCGATGATGATACCAGGGAGCATGAGGACCAGTCAGATAGAAAGGAGGAGAAGTAAGAGAGGGTAGGGTCATAAAATAGGTAAGAGTATCTAAGAGGAGAGGGGGTCAACAGTGGAAAATATCACCAAGAGCTCGAGAAAGATGAGGACTGAGACAAGGCTGTTAAGTTCAATGTTTTGTTTGTTTTTGTTTTTTTCATTTGATGAACCTTTGTTTTATTAGCCCGTCACCCCTCAGTCAGAAGGCAGGTAGCTTCATTACGCTTCCTCATCAGTCCCATGACATTATAGATGGTTGCTGCATTGATCAAAGTGCCTAAGTCTTTCAACATTTTTTTCATTTTTACAATGTATTCTATAAATTGTTCTCCTGATTCTGATTGACTCTGCATCCATTTATTTGAGTCTTCCCAGGTTTCTCTGAAACTATACCTGTCATCATTTCTTATAGCACAATAATATCCCCTCACATGGGGCAACTAAGGTGGCACACTAGATAGAACACTGGGCTTGGAGTCAGATTTTTAATAAGTTCAAATCCAGCCTCAGATACTTACTAGCTGTGCGACCCTGGGCAAATTACTTCACCCTGTTTGCCTCAGTTTCCTCATCTGTAAAATGAGCTGGAGAAGGAGATAGCAAACCACTCCTGTGTCTTTGCCGAGAAAACCCCAAAACGGGGTCACAGAGTCAGACACGATGAAAACAACTCAACAACAAAAAATTCCGTCACATTCAGATACCATAATTTGTTCAGTCATCCTCCAGTTGATGGGCATCCCCTCCATTTCCAATTCTTTGCCACCACAAAAAAGCACTACTATAAATATTTTCATACATAAAGATTCTCTTCCTTTTCTTTTTATTTCTTTGGGAGTGGTATCTCTCTGGGTTAGGAGATGTACTCAGTTTAGGAGTAACTTGGCCATAGTTCTGGAATGGCTGGACCAGTTCAGAGTTCCATCAACAGTGTATCAGTAAGCCCATTTTTCCCACAGCCCCTTCAACATTCCCCATCTTTGACAGCTTTGCTAACCTGACTGCTTTGAGGTAGAAGCTCAGGATTACTTCAATTTGTATGTCCCTATTAGTGATTTTTTTTTTCCATATGGCTATTGATAAGCCTGGATTTTTTTTTTCCCCTTGAGAACTGGAAAAGGTGATTATATTTGGCAACTAAAGATTGTTGGTAGCTGTAGAGAGAGCTAATTCAATTGAGTTATGGGCTCAGAAAACAGATTGCAGAAGGCTGCAGAGTAAGTGAGGTGTGAGGAAATGGAGATAAGCAGCCTGGACAGATTTTGTTTCCTGGGAATTTGGATGAGGAAAGGGAGAGCAATTCAGCAGTCAATCAGCATGCATTTATTAAGTGCTTACTAAGTGCCAGGCATTCTGCCTAGCATAGGGTTCATAGGGTCCCGACTCTGGAGCCAAAAGCACCTCAGAAGCCATCTAGCCCGGCCCCCTCATTATGCAGATGGAGTAACTGAGGCCTATGGAGGTTAAGTGACTTGCCCAAGGCCACACAGGCAATACGCACCAGAGGAAAAATTTGAATCCAGAACCTTTGACTCCAGAGATAGCCTTACGGGGTAGCCTGATCCAGTCAGTGATTTTTTAAAAGATGGGGAGACTTGGGATCCTTTGTAGGGGACATATCAGCAGAAACTGAAGACTGGAGAGAGGGTGATAGTGGGATAATCTGGTTCTCCCACAGAGGGCCATGGGCAGGCCTAGCCTCCAGCCTCAGAGATTCTGCACATGAGAAATGGCCTTCCTCCCAGAGATTGTCTTTCCCCTTCAGAAGTCGTATTTCCCCAACTAGAGACCACCTCTCCCCTCAGACATCATCTTTCCCTCTTTAGAATTACATCTCCCCTCTCCAAAATTGTCTTTGTCCTCAGCGATTATCTCCCCTCCCCAGTCAGATATTGGCTCCTCCCTTGGAGCTCATTCTCAAATCCCCTGCCCCTGGGACAGGGGCCCTTCAGGGGCAGATCCTCCCCTCTCTGCAGGGGCTCCTTCCTGCTTCACACCCTATAATCACTCCCCCACACTGTTGAGTCCCAGAAGACAAGTGCCCCACAGGCCCTAGACAGTTCTGTCCTCCTCAGAGCTGATCTCCCCTTGACCTTCTGAGTCTATCTTAGGTAGCCCCCAGCTTCCCCGCCAGCTCTGGGCTGAACCCTACTGCCCGGGACCCCTTCCGTGGGCACAGCTGTGCCAACCTGCCCTTCCTGCCTTTGACATCATTGACAGGCTCTGGCCAGCCCTAGCTGGAACCTACTCCTCAGGGACCTTTGCCTATGGGCCAGGCCCTGTCGTGCCAGCTGGCTCCTCTGCCTTCAACCATAGCCACTGAGCTACTCTGTCAGCTCAGGGCCCTTAGGCCCAGCTGTGCCAGCCTTCCTGTCTTGCCTTTGAACCAATTTGTCCTGCCCCCGAAGCCCAAAGCAGGGGGAAGGGGCCCACTCCCCCTGTTCTCCTGCGTGCCCAGCTGGCCCACGTGCTCAGCCTGGCGATGTGCTAGGCAGACAGGCCTGCAGGCAGACTAATAGACTGGGGCGGGGGGGGACGCACATGCTGGACACAGGACCCTTTGTTGCCAGTCCCAGTGGGGCTGCTTGGTATGACACTGAGCCGCTTACCCCTCACGCCCCTGAGAGCTGTGGAGGATGGAAGCCTGGGAGAGGCAGAGGAATCAGGCAGGCCTGCCTGGGCTGTCCTGGGCTGACTGGGGCAAGGCAGACTAGGACGAGAGACTGGCCCCCATCTCCACATGGCATTGCCTCCTCCTGTCCTTCCTGGGAGGTGGCAGGCATCAGGCAAGGGGAGCAGGCTAGGCCCTGGCCGGGGTTGCCTGGCTTCGTACTGATTGCGCCTCCTCTCCTCTTTCCACAGAATGGTGCTGTCCCCAGTGAGGTGGCCAAACGGGACAAGAATCTCAAACGCGGCAACTGGGGCAACCAGATTGAGTTTGTGCTGACCAGTGTGGGCTATGCTGTGGGGTTGGGCAACGTCTGGAGATTCCCTTATCTGTGCTACCGCAACGGGGGAGGTACCCAGAGGGCACTGCATCCTTGGGCCCTCCCTGGGGTAGATACCACCCACCCAGAGGACAGGCTCCTCCCCCACAGCCTGGCACAGATGCCCCTCTGCCTGGGGCATAGACCACCTCCAGCTCTTGGCACACACACTCTGGGGGGGAGGGAAGTGGAGAGGAGAGCATCCGTCTCCTTCTGGGCACAGAGACTGTGTCTGGCTCTCGGGGTTGCTCGGGTCCTTGTTCCATGGGGAAGGAGGGGGTTGTGGCCTGCTCCTGAAAGCCAGGCAGAGGCAGGGAGGCAATGGCCACTGGCCCTAAAGCGCTCCTTCTTCCTTGGGACTCTGGGCTTAGGGCAGTCAGGGGCAGAGCCTCCCTCCCTGAGCCTGGCCTCTCTCCCCACACCCTCCCAGGTGCTTTCATGTTCCCCTACTTCATCATGCTGGTGTTCTGTGGCATCCCGCTCTTCTTCATGGAGCTCTCCTTTGGCCAGTTTGCCAGCCAGGGCTGTCTGGGGGTCTGGAGGATAAGCCCCATGTTTAAAGGTGAGGATCAAACGCAGTGTTAATGTGCCCACATTTCTGCCCCGGGAGTGCCGCCTCCCTAGCTGGGGCCACGTATTCCTTGGTTTGGCCCCATGCCTCTCCCCACACGGGACCTCTCTTTCCCCTTCTTGCCCTTGGCCACTGCCTGGGCCTGGCTCCACACGCTTCTTTCCAGGCTGCCTCCTCCTCTTTCCCCAGCCCACCATGAAAACTTTCATTTGCCTGCCCTGCAGGTGTGGGCTACGGCATGATGGTGGTGTCCACCTACATTGGCATCTACTACAACGTGGTCATCTGCATCGCCTTCTACTACTTTTTCTCCTCTATGACCCCCGTGCTACCCTGGGCGTACTGCAACAACCCCTGGAACACACTCGACTGTGCTGGGGTCCTCGATGCTGCCAACTTCACCAACAGCTCGGACCCAGCCCACGGGCCCCTCAACCTCTCCCAGCTGCTCAACTACACCCTTAAGAGGACCAGCCCCAGTGAGGAGTACTGGCGGTGAGTGTCCCTCCTGGAGGGATCTGCTGGGAATTAGGAAGGCCGGGAGCAAACAGCCTCAGGCTCAGGGCAGGCCTGGAGCTGGAGGTGGACAGGCAGAAAGGACAAGGAAGCAGACGGAATAAGTGAGGTGTACTCTTGTGACAGCAGAGACTGCCTTGGTGGGCTAGAGCAGACAGAGCCTCTGGAGAGCCATGGAGAAGGGGGCTGGAGAGGTTCTGTGGGAAAGCCTGGCCTCGAGGGAAGAGCACTGGCTGGGAGCTCTGGGCTAGTGACCTAACCTCCCAGAGCCTCAGTTTCCTCATCTTTAAAATGGAGGTAATAATCCTGCTTCTGGGAAGAACTTGCCAAGCTTGCCAAGCTCGGAGTCCCACCAGAGGGTGAAGGGCAAGCAGCTCTGATTATTGCTAGGATGGGGGCAGAAAAGTCCAGTCTTCACATAGGAGGCAGGAAGCAGCAGAGACGGGGTGCCATGGAAGGGGCAGGAGGATAGAGCCTGAGCCAGATCCAGCTGTGCAAGGAGGGGAAGGGAGGGATGTTTCAAAGTAACACTCTTCGTCGGTGCATCCTTGTTTCATATTCCCAATGGGTAAGAGAGGTTTTATTTGGAAAGAAGCTAAATTGGAGGCTGGGGGTGGGCGGGTGGTGCTGTGGAGGGTCACTGTCCTTGCTCCAGGCCCTCCCACACCCACTAAAAGGCTCACAAATCTGCTCTATTAATCCTTTGCTGAAAAATGTCCTATGTGGTGTAGCTCAGACTCATTTGCCTTCCCTGATACTCTGCAATGCCATGGAGAAAGCATTTGGTTTTATACTGTTTTCATGAATGAATTGCATTACAATTCGTTATGTTTGTGTCTCATCCCCTTGTCTTGTCGTCTAAGCTCCAAGTGGGCAGGGATTCAGCTTTATATGTAGTCTTTATTTCCCTCAATGCCTAGCACAGGGCTCATCATACCAGTGCTTAATGAAGGTTTGTTGGACAGATGGGTGGATGGATAGATGGATGGGTGGATGGGTGGGTGGATGGGTGAATGGGTGGGTAGACGGATGGATGGATGGATGGATGGAAAGGTGTATGGATAGACAGATGGATGGATGGATGGAGAAATGATAGGTGGACAGACAGGTTGGTGGATAGATGGATGTATGGACAAATGGATGATGGATGGATGAATGAATGGAGAGACAGACAAAGTGGGTAGATGGATAGACAGATGGATGAATGAGTGGATGGATGGATGAACAGACAGATGGATAGATGGATAGATGAATAGGTGGATAGGTAGACAGATGGATCTTTAGGTCTTGCATAAGGCCTTTTGGCCCTTCTGCATAATAATCATAATCATAATAACTAACATCTATATAATTCTTACTATTTGCCAGTACTATGCTAAGTGCTTTTTACAATTATTATCTCATTTGATCATCATGGCAACCCTAGGAGGTAGGTGCTTTTATTATCCCCATTTTACAGATAAGGAAACTGAGGCAGAAAGCAGCTCAGTGACTTACCCAGGGTCATACTAGTAAGTGTCTGAGGCCAGATTTGAACTTAGGTCTTCCTGACTCTAGGTCCAACACTCTATCCACTCTGCCACAGACCCTAGGCTATACAAAGGCTATACATTTCCCCAGACCTTTAACCAGGCCCCATGCTTCTGAGATGGGGAGAAAGAGATCACAGAATCATAGAACAAGATACAGGTCTCATCCTCAAGGAGGAGATGGTACAAGCCGGGAAAAGAGGCCAAGATGTCCAGGGGCCCTATTGGGAGGTGATGAGATCTGGAGTTAGGGAAGGCTATAGGAGGTATCTTAGGTAGGAGGCGACTAGTCATGGAAGCTGCAAGGCTGAGAAAAGAGATGAGGGCATTGACTGGCTCAGTGGTGGCAAAAATGGAAAGGAAGGGACAGGGGGAGAGACATTTCCAGGGAAGAATTGATAGGACTTTGGACCTATGGGATGCAAAGATGGGTCAGAAAGCCCAGTCAGCGCCGCCTGGAACATGCTGGAGGTCCAGGGCAGCTGGGAAGAGGTGAGAGAGGGAAGGGAGATCAGCAGAGCTGGAACTGTGTGAGCCCTCCTCTCCCCTGTGTTAGCACCCGCATGCACACACATCCATGGTGTGTATACAGTGTGAATACAGTGTCTGTGTGTGTATACAGTATCAGAGGGTAAATATATAATATCAGTGTGTGTATATAGTACCAATGTGTGTATGCAGTATCAGTGTGTATATACAGTATCAGTGTATATACACTATCAGTATATATAGTATCAGTGTGTACATAGTGGAGGACCCTGAGGAGTCACTGTGAGAGTCCTTTGGGTGACAGCAAGAGAGCCCATGGGAGTTACTCGGCAGACTTTGGGAGACTCAGGCCTCAAGAGCGTGTTTGGGAGGCGTCCTCACTGAGGCTAGAACTGAAGCCAGAGGACGGCCAAGGCCTCTTTGAACCCAGTTCCCTTCTGAGAGCCTGGGACTTGCTCCCTTCTCTAATCTGGGGATTGAATAGAGGCCAAGCTCTCCCCACCAGATCAGGCCCAGCTGGGATGGCCCTGAGGGCTAAGCAGAAAGGCCCCAGTCTGCTTCCTCTGAAGGGAGGCACAGTTGAGGTTGCCTCTCACTCCCCAGCAGTGGCCTATGGCCAGCTATTTGTGGTGGGTTCCCAACCCGTGCAGCAGGATGGAGTGGGAGGGTGGGAGTAAATCACATAGTGTCCTCTTTTCCCCCTTTTCCTCTCCCCCCTCCTCCCCCCCCTGCCCATTATCAGGCAAACTTGAACATCAAGAGAAGAATCCAAGGTGTCACAGACAGATGGGCAGCCTGTGCCATGGGAGGGAGGGTCACAGGAACTGGCATCCCTAGAGATCTTTAATGTTTGCAAGGCCTTTACATGGCCCTTGTGACACCCTCCCACCCCTTTCTTCTCAGAGGACACACAAGTTGAGAAGAAAAGTGACTTGCCCAGGGCCATGCAACTAGTGAGTAGCAGGATTCTCTCCCCTACATCCCACTCCCAGCCCCACAGACTTATGGTAGAAAGGGCATAGGATCTCAGGGCTGGAGTGGACACACACCTATTTTCCAGATTGAAGGCATGAGTCCCGGTTATGCTTTGCCTGAGGGGCTAGAGAAGTGGTAGAGGGGAATCACCAGCCCAGCTTCAGGAGCCCCTCCTTTGTTGTCTCTGGGCCCCCTTTGTACTGCAGTGTTGGGGAGGGCAAAGAGGAGAGAAAGCTGGTCCCAGGCAGAATTCCCCAGGCCTGGCTCTCCAGGTAGGGGTGGTCAGAAGCCCAGACTAGATTCCCTATGTACAGGGCCAAACTTCTACCCTCAAAGGGATTGAAGACCACAGCTATGTGACTCAGAACACGCCCATTCAATTTTATTAGGAAAAAAGACTTCCTTGCTTTATCTGGAGCTAATGTCTGCTAGTGCCTAAAGCAGGAGTGAGGAACCTGCTACCTCCAGGCCACATGTGGCCCTCTGGGTCTTCAAGTGCGTGAAATTTGGATTCAATCAAAAGACTGCACTTGAGGACCTAGAGGGCCACATGTGGCCTTGAGGCCAAGGTTCCCCATCCCTGGCCTATAGGAACCTGGGGAGTCAGAGTGGTAGGCGCCAACTCAGAAGTCCAAGTCCTGGTTTCAAAGAAGACCGTAAGGAAGCCTAGGGCCCAAGGTCACACTGCTAACAGTGGCAGAGCTGAGTGCTGAACTTGGCTCTATTGACCGCCACTTCAGGGTTTTAGAGAAAGACAGAGACCAAATGAGACCTATGGGGCACCAGCCTGCAGCTTAACGTGTCGGACGGGATGTGGAAGGGAAATGGCCTGGAGACAAATCCAGCCAGCCAAGCCTGTGGGGCACATGACTCCTTGGGCTACTGACCAGGGCCTAACGTCCAGCCTGGCCAGGTCCAGCTGCCCTTGGCAGAGTGGCATCCTGATGCCCCCTGCTGGGCAAGAAATGCGAATGACATGTAGCAAGGAAGTAAGGGAGAGAGGGAGGGAAGAAGGAAGAGAGGGAGGGAGGGAGGAAAGAAAGGAAGGAAGAGAGGGAGGAAAGGAAGGAAAGAAGAGAGGGAAGGAGGAAGGAAGAGAGGGAGGGAGGAAGGAAAGGAAGGGAGGGAGGGAGAGAAGAAGGAAGAGAGGGAGGGAGGAAAGAAAGGAAGGAAAGAGGGAAGGGAGGAAGGAAGGGAGGGAGGGAAGGAGGGAGGACTTATTAAACTTAGGTTAGGGATCTGCTAAATGGTGGAGAAACCGAGGCAAGAAGACCCCTGAGTGAGGATGGTCCTGAACTGATCCAGCTAAGAGCTGCTGAGTGAGGTCTTCCACTTCATAGGGCAGCAGGAGTGGGGAGAAGGGACTGGGGTGGAGAGAGGTTTGGAAGGTGGAGCTGACAAGAGTCAGACTGAGAAGATGACAGGGTTGGAGGGGACTCCCCACTAATTTTGCAGGTGAGGCCTTGAACCAAAAAGACTTTCTAACTCCAGCCCCCTTCCCAGTGTCTGCACCACTTCCATCCCCTACCCAGCTGCCTGTGGAACCAAAATGAAGTCTTTGAGAGGACCAGTCCGAAAGGATGAATGCTACCACCAGCTTGGGCCCAGGGAAGTGAGAGAAACTCTGAGTTCTTTCTGCCAGAACCCTCCCTAACAGCTCTGAGGACAGCTGTCCTTCCCAGTCGCCCTGAGCCTTTTCCAAGGAGGCAGCAGGTGATGCATTGAAGACCTAAGTTCAAACCCCGGCCTCAGACACTTACCAACTCTGTGACCCTGAGCCTCAGTTTCCTAATCTGTAAAACATGGGTGATAATCAGATAATAAAACCTCCCATGGTTGTTGTGAGGATCTAATGAGATAATATTTATAAAGGATTTTGCAAACCTTAAGTTTTGAACCTAAGTCCTGCCCTTTGGTTCTACAGGTTGAGGCCAATGTGGCTTGACCTCAACTCATGGGACAAGGCCTGAGGGGTGGGGTGGGCAA